CTTATATTAAAGTTTTTCTTCATTACCCATTTAAGCCGTCTCCAGCCATTATTAAACATATGATAAGTTTCTGTCATATGTCCTGTTCACAGATTGGTAGGTATGATATTTCCCTCCATTCTGCTGAACTTGAGGGGAAGATGGTATGATCCTCTTTCATACCCCACCAGATGACTGGATTTTGGATTGCAGCTGAATTGCTGCTGGTAAGATCCTCTTTCCTACCTTCACATTGATGTTGGTTCCTGGAGGCTGGGGTTTTGGATTGTAGTTGACTTGCTGATGGTATGACCCTCTTCTTACCCTCGTGTGGATAGGTTTTGGATGCAGTTGACTTGTTGTGTATGTTCTGTCATGTCCTAGCCACTCTACACTTTGGGGCACATCTTTTTACTCTCACCCACATTATTTTCATCTATGGGATAGAGATTTAGATATTGGGTGGTTTGTATCCCTGTCCAACTATTGGGTTCAGATCCCTATCCCACCAAACGCTTGCCATTTCAGCTATCTTAACTACTTAACCATTTTTGCTAGATTATCCAGAGAGGTGAGTATTTTTATTTCTACCTTTCAGGGTCTCTTACCTTGTTTTCACAGGATCCCACTCTGTGATGAGTGTTGCCAGACAGGTGTGCTTTAATCAAACCAATTCTGCACTAGCAACCTCTATTTCACTATAATTACTGCTGGGTGCAACAGGTTCTGTAGAAATGAAGTGTTCCATAAGACCACCTAGGAGCTCATCAGATGGTATTACCATACTATGTTGGACTGCCACTCATGGACTATCATGACTAAAGCTAAAGAGGATCTTGCCCCATCCCTTTCAATCATTGGATTGAATAAATCAGGGTCAGTTTGTTTAAGAAATTTAGGGAACTTGGTTCACCTATTGTACTGTTTCAAGAGCAATGTTCCTCAGGGTTCCCCCAATGCACATTACCCCAAGATTCTACTAGTAGAACTAGGGAGTCCCTACCACACCCAGTTTCCAGTATGTCACTGGGGTGGTTGACAGGGCTTTTCCTCCAGAGTAAATTCCTTCATTCTTAGAGAAGAGGGTGAAGTTTGGGGCTCTCCTACCTGGGTCCCTGGATGTTTTTTTCCCAAATGTTTGTAGGAACAGCACCAGTCTATGCAGGAGCCTACTCATAATACCAGTTCAGATTTGACACTCAACTAATCAGTTGAGGTGTGCATGGTCCTTCTTTTTGGTTAATATTGGTTCAGTACCTTGTTTATAGAAAGGGGTCCACTATCTCCTCGTAATTCTGAATGAGGAGTGGTCCCATCCTGGGTCCTTGGTTGAGCACAGTTGTTCCACATCCTCCCCATAGTTCTGGGGGCAAGTGGAATGTTCCTTGCCCACTCAGTTGTGGAGGGAGGGTGAATGTTCAAAATTCAAGACCGGATTAGTTCTGTTCCTTTGGCTGAATACGGCATATATGATCCTAGCCTTGGGTGCTTCTTCAGATTGAGGAAAAGGTTTGTCCACTTTGGGGTTGCTTACTTTCTCATTGTGATTCCAGTGGCTTGGAATGCATCACTTATGGCTATCGGTTGGGATTCAATCAATTGTATTTATATATATATATATGTAACGTTGAAGTCCAATTGCCCTGGCCACCAGCATGGGACATAAGGACCGAATCCCTTAATTCCAACCCTGAGTAGTGGAACCTCAGCTATCTGGTTGGGGCTGGCCTATAATAATGATTACTCATGTACAATTCCACCCTTGATACAGGAACTAAGTTCTGTGTGAAGAGCATACCTGTTCTGGATGTAGTGCGGTCCTCCACTCGGGTACCACTCTTATCTTGGTATACCCATGATATATGCAAATGCTTTCTGTATGGTTAATGCCTCTCCACCTTTTTAATGTGAGATTCTAGCTGTAAGTGTTAGCGGAGGTAAGTATATTTTGGCAGTTAACATTTTGCTAAATTGAAAATGTATTTCCAATAATACTTACCTCCACTGACACTCTCCCGCTCGTCCTCCCCACTAAGAGCTGGTGTTAGACACTGGGATAGTGTCAGTCTTGAAAAAGTGATAAAATTATCTTAACAAGGTGCTTATATACAGTACCAGGGTAGAGGGTGCATTGACATAGATGGAGCATGTCACAAGACAAATATTGCAAAGTGCAGTTGAGTGGGATATATAAGACTGGAGCAAGCGAGAAAAAATCGGACCAATGCTTAGATGGGCAAAGAAAAACCCTGGCAGTCGAGTAATAGCTGTAAGTGTCAGTGGAGGTGTCATTGAAAATACATTTTCAATTTAGGAAAATGTTAACTCTCATTACAGTGATAGTTTCCTGAAAGTTTCAAAAATGTAGGTTCTTAGATTTTTTTTACTATTTGTTATCATCTGATCATTTATTGTATTATTTTATCTTTTAGCAACTAAATTTTAGTTCTGCTTTAGGCTTACTTTTACGTGCACTCATATTCTGTTTTTACTCTTGTTAGGATTATAAAGTTAAGACCTTGTCACAAAGGTTAGAATAAACTTTAAATTTTAGATGGTTCTTTTATTCACACTTATATTAGAAATAATTAGATATTACATCTTACAGACTTGCCATGCAATATATTATCAGTATTCTATAAATTTATATATGTATATTAGAAATAAAATATTTTTTTAAATGCTAACTCAAGTTTACTGTCATATTCTTAATTAAGTGGAAATCAGTGTTTGACTCCAAAATGTGGTACAAAATATTCACATGAACATCACACTTTGGTAAAATCATTGGCTGCTCTGGCTCATAAAAAGTTGAAACCAAAAAATCACCGATCTCATAATTCTGTCACCAATTCACAAAACCAAAGATCAAATTGGTTATTTTATTACATATTTAACTAACACTTGCATGGCACATCTAAAAAGATGAAATTAACTGCCTATCATTTTACTTGTAGAGTAAACAGATGCTATGGTGTGAATGAAACATCATTGTTCAAATTTTACTGGCATCAAATGTTGGTTAAAAAAAAAAAGTGGAACACTAGGCTTTGTAGCCAACAAAAGAAAACATCCCCAATTTGTCAAAGCTGAGGACTGTACCTGGGCTTTACTTAATTTAATTTATGTTCACTGTAGCTCCTTTAAATGTTTTGAATGTCAGGTTGAATAGCAACTGTGATAATATTATCACTATCTGCAACCTCATCATTAGGCTATTTCAGCTCATTGGTATTGGCATGCTATTGGTACTTTCAACCTTAACAGCAATTTACATAACATGTAGACTATAGAGATCAAGGTCAGAGACTTCTAAGATTCAAATATATAATACTTAATTTAGAACTGCTGACCAAAGGTCCAACAAGCAGTCAACAGCACCCACTGTTTTTGTAGCTGCTCTGCATTAAGTAGTAGGATTGAGTGTCATAATGATAATACCCCCCACAACTGAAAGTGTGGAGTGTGTTTGGGAGCCATATTGTGGCTTAATCCTTTGGCATTTGAATCTGCTGCCTGGCACACTAATTTCTTGGCTATGTCTTATCTCAAACCATTGGATCTCTTTGGTATACTTGCACATGTTACGTCTTTGCTTTTGTAGTTTTTAGCTTATATTTCCAAGACAGTTATATGTCCTTTCTTCCTTATAACAGCAAATAGATGAAAATGTTGAAGCATCAGGATCAATATCTTATAACCAAGAAGATGAGGAAAGAATTCAGAACCCACTTATTTCTTCTATTTCAAGTGAGGTATGCAATTTTTCAGTGTGATTGGGTTTTTATTATTAAATTGTTTGCAATGAAGAAAATTTCTCAGAATATTTCTATGCTTGAATAAATTGTCAGTGACAGTAATGAAGGTTATAATATCTAGTCATTTGTAGGTTCGAAAGCTGGCTTATATTTTATTTACTCATTATTCATAGCTAAGCTATTGAATTAAAAAAATAATAGTCAAACATTGGTGCATTGTGTTGTGTTTTGTATTTTTTCTCTAGGTGCCTGAACCTAGAAATTCATGTTTCATGTATGACACAAGTTGACTAGTGTTACAAAACAGAACACTTTTTTTTTTTGGTCTAAGAGTAGTGCTGTAATGATGCACCAATACATCAAAATATTGTTAACATAAGTGAATCTTATCATGCCCACTGTATTGTAGCTTCCATGATACATGGGCCTATCAGTACCAGCTGTCCCTTAAGGACATGTACTTGTCTGCCAATACAGCTGGTATGATCTGTTTTTATCCATTTACCTGAAGTGAGGCTCGAATAATTTCTGCAGACTCTTGAAATGGTGCTGAAGGGCCATCCAAGAACTAGTAAGGGATACACGGAATAAAACGTATACACATACTTTTCATTTGTTAACATATTCAAAATTACCTATCAGTCTTAAATCTTCATATCTTGCTTTTTTCACACAAATTATTTGGAAGAATAATTTCCCATACATAATATTTTGCGTATAATAATAACAACCACTTCACGTACTGTGTGTGTGTGTGTGTGTACGAGTAGAGTAATGACGTTCACATTTTCCTTTCTTATTTAGTGGTTTAAACAACTACTTTGCGTTTTACATATTTCACTTCACTGTAACTATATTCGTTTGTTACTTATGGCATATTTGAAGTTTACCATTTGCTAATGCCCTTATTTTCACTGTTCTGTGTATAAGATATTCTCTATTTATAGCTTGTTTGACCTAAATCACAATTTATGTACAAACAAATATACACAAGATTCATTGTTTTTAAGAACTTACTTTATTCAGTTAAAGTTAAGATTTTATAAATTTCTCTAAAGATACGTTGGCTGTCAAAACACTTGCAAGTCTTCCATTACTACTTAGAATACAGAAGACTTGATACATTTTGTAAACCCTTGTAATGCTATCACTTCATCACTTTAAAACATGCAACAGAAAAATCAATGCAAATACGAATAACTTTAGGAAAATGACGTGTGTGAATGTGGTAGAATCTAACTGCTCAACTAACCTCTGTTAGTTGGTTTTCAAACAGCAATAAAAGGTAAGCAACAGTAGCATTTAAATGCTGATGTGATGTGGGTGGATGAATCACTTGAGTTGCTTCCTCATCTTCTGTGATCTGAAAGAATCAAAGTAGAAGGTTTTATGTCAAGAGTTATGCCAAATTAAACATGTTCCAGCACAACATACCTTAGGATTTATTGTGAAAATAACCATTATATATATATCATATAGACATACAGGACTGAAGCAAAGTAGTACAAAATATGGAATGTTTCAATAAAATATTTTTATCAATACTTCAGTGAAAATATATAACTTTTAGTTACTAAGGAATCTAGGACCACATCATCTCTGTTACTTTTTCTTTCAGATTCAGTAGTAACACAATTAACACTTTCACTACTGGCATCTTTTTTCTTCATATGTCATAAGGTTTTAGTGACTTACATTCAAACATCGATTAATGTACTTTATTATCACTGTATAGGAATACACTTGACATCAAAACATAGCTAATAATCCAAATTTTAACATTATATAAGGTTTAAGTTCTTAATTTTGTAAGACAACATAAAAAAAATCCCCAATTTCCCCTTGTTTGAGAATTGTGACAAATGCTCTCTAGGTATTTCCTCTTCTCTGTTTTATTTACCACTCCTCTGAGAAGTATGAAATTTAACACAAATTACTCATTATAATGTTGTCATCATTCAGTAGTCTTCAATCTTATTTGTATACAGAGCCATAAACTAGAAATTCAGACCCCTCTTGCCCCACCCACCTGTCACTTCCTCTCTTTCACAAATTGTTAATAGTTCTCTCTGACATTTAATACTATATTACTTATAACTAATAGGACACCAAGGTTTTAATGTACCAAATGACATATTATATCACATTGTTTTTTATATAGAGAATTGTCTAAATCATTTCCAATTCAAACCTTATTCCCACGGGAAACACACGGATGAGTTTAGCTGAATTTTTAACAGCTCTTGTCATAGAAAAATCGGGATAAAGTTGTTGGACATTGTCTGCTTTTTGCACGTTATTATTCTTTGTTCTTTGGTACATTATTTGATTAAATAAAAAAATATTTAGTGCAGTAGTACCATTAGTATATAAAAGTAGGGTTAAGTTTCATCAACAGCAAAAAAAAAAAAGAAGACCCAGCTAACTACATTATTTCTTGTTTTTCATGTGTATTCTTTATTTATTATTATTATAAAAGAAACTAAAATATAAAAATTATAAACTTCTTAGGTTAGATAAGGTAAAATAAAGAATAATAAAAAAATATTTCATGGTGTATGCTCACAAGCACCCTGTGTGTTATGTAATTTTATAAGATAACATGAGCAACATTTTACAACTTATGTGGTGGGAATATCAGTTAGACACAGTTCAAATTATAATAAAAGAATACAGTTGAAGTAAAAACAGGTGTATAAGATTACAAGTTCAAAGCTATTTAGGATAAACAAACTTACTTTCATGTTACAATTTGAAGCTATTGTAGAAAAAAAAAGAGTAACTCAGATTTATTTTGAATTTTTTCTGGTGGTTATGAGATTCGTCAAATTGATCAACTTCATCCGAAATTAGTGTGAAGAACAGATAGAATAGAATATTTTGCCGAGAAACAAAATTTTTTAAATTTATTTAGGAGGTTTTATAGATCATGCAAATGAAACTTGAGCTTTTTCAGAAGAAGAAAAGTATTATTAATCTTAAAATGAAAATCACCTTACACTTGGAGTATTCAATACTGACTCCATATATTCATAGAGAAGTTTTTAGTGAAAATATTTCATTAAACTTCTGATTTTTTTTTGTCTACAAATGACTTAATGATTACAGAAAGTTTGTGAAATCTCGTGAAGAAACATAAAACAAATCAGAAGTTATAGTATGGAACTATAAAGGTCAATAAATACTTTGGACTGCTTATTGACTTATGTATAGTTTGACCAAATATTCCTGATTTGCAATGGGACTAATTATCTTAATGATAACTCCACATATATTGTAACTTATTTGGTATTGTTGTAACTAAATATTCCTTTTCAATTTAATGCTGGTTTATATGTATTTTATTTTATTCTAAACTAATGGTTTATGATTAGATAATAATGGTAATTTTCTATTATGGACGTTGAAAGGTGTTTTATCTTATTTCAGCCACAAACTGCATATTTAATACTTGTTTTATTTTTCATTAGTGTATTTGGATGATTATGATATCTTTTCACAATGCTAATAGAATTGTTGTGCTATACTCTTGTGGGCATGAGAAGAACCACACAATATTTCTATTATTAAAATAAGGAACCCATGATCTTTCTTCAAGCCTCTTAACAATTACCTACTTATTGATAAATAATGTCTGACAACAACATAAAAAAAAACTCCTTGAGTCAATGGAAAACAATTTTGTCTGAAGCAATTAAATTACTATAAATCCAGAAACCCAATTCTGCATTTGTTTGCAAAAAAATATTTTAAAAAATTCATAATGCAAACCAATTTTTTTCTTTTTATAATCATTAATTTTGTTTATCACAATCAGTGAGTATCATAACTGTTCAACAACAGTCACAGAATTACTGACAATCAGAACTTTGATGGCTCTCCTACACTTTACATGTTTTGTTTTTTATCCACATAGAAATAAACACAAAATCAAATGTTTGTCTGGTTTATTTTGCTGTAGTACACCCCCAGGAGACCAAGAACAACAGCCTTCAAAGATACCATATGATCATGTAGCAAGCCTTCCCCTTTAATTCTCTCAACACAAGCTCTGTCAATTTGATCAACCACGTGACCTCTTTTGTACTTGTTCAAAGTCTTTATAGATTTGATACCACTAACTTTTAATATATTATGTATATCTTAAAGAAATATAGCAGTCTATCAGTAAACATAAGTCCATAGTTAGAAAACCAGAAGAATTGTGATTGTTACAGGAAATTGTCTGTTTTTTGCATGTTATTAGTCTATGTTCTGTGGCACATTATTTAATTAAGTAAAAATTATTTCATGCACTACTACCATTAGTATATAGAAAAAAAAAAGTAAGGCCAAATGTCATCCATAGTCGACCACAAAAAAAAAAAAGAATACTTGAATAAGTACTTTATTTCTGGTTTTTTCATGTTTATTCTTTATTTATAATTATAAAAGTAACTAAAATATAAAAAGAGGGATCTCTTTATGTTAGTTAAGGTTAGATTAGGTAAAATTAATAATAATATAATAAAAATATTTCATGAGGCATGCATGCGAACAGCTCAAGAGTAACTCGTGGGTAAGGTTATTCATGAGCATAATGTGAGCTGCACATTCCCCAATTGATTTATAACTTATAATGGCACAAATAGTAGTTAGACACGGTTCAAAGTGCAATAAAACAATAACATTTAATTTTAAATAGATGTATACTGTTATGACTTTAAAGCTACTTAGGATACATGAATATAGTTTCATACTACATTTGAAGTCATTCTAGAAAGTAAAGAGGGTAATTTAGATTTATTTAGACTTTTTTTTTTGGTGGTTACAAGGTCGGTCCAATTTATCAACTGGGTAAAGAGTTGGGGAGAGAAAATAATGGATAAAATATAAAGTTTTACTGAAAACAAAAATTTGAAATGCATTTAGGAGGTTTTAGAGATTATACAAATGAAATTTGAGATTTTTGAGATGAAGAAAAGTATTTTTAATCTTCACATAAAAATCAATTTGCACACAGACTATTCAAAACAAATGCTCGATATATTCAAAGACAAATCTTTTCTTTTTTAGTTTATTAAAAAATACTTCACTAAAAATATGGTTTCGTGTGTAAACGTGGAAATTGTAATGATTACTTTGTGGTTAAAAGGTCAGTCGAATTGCCTGAGCCTTTGTGGAAAGCCAAGGTTTTCATCCATAAAATGACATATCATATAATGTTTTCTGAACAGATTGTCAATTTCACCAGTAGTACAGGCTTCATTCCCACAGGAATGGTAATGACTAGCTTGGATGAATTTGTAATGGCTCTTGTCAACTACCACTTTTAATATGATACATGTATCTTTAGATAATTTGGCAAGCGTTCAGTAAACAGTAAAAATCTTTTGTACACAAAAAAATCAAATTTTTTCATTAAGTGCTTTTACTAAAGATTTTTCCGTGAATATAGAGAGTGAAAGTGTTGACTGCTTCTAGTGCAAAGTGATTTTCATGTTATGCTTAAAAATACTCTTAATCACTAAAATCCCATAAATAAATATCAAACTTTAAGTAAAATTATACATTTTATCTGTTATTTTCTCTGCCCTAACTCTATATCGTGTTGTTCAATTTGACAAACTTCATAACCACCATAAAAAAAAAAGGAAATAAATCTAATTTACCCTTTTTTCTTTCTAATGACTATAAATGACCGGGAACTACAGTTGTTTGTCAGAAATAATTTAAAGCTCATAACAGTAAAAATCTGTTCCTACTTCAATTCTATTGATTTACTGCTCTTTGAACCATGACTAACTAATAATCCTACCACACAAGTTGTAAATTACTTGGCAAACATGTAGCTCATGTTACCCTATTGAATTACACAGAATACCTTGTGAAGAAGTTTTATAATTATTTTTCTTCATCTTACCTTATCTAACAAGTTTCTAATTTTTTACATTTTAGTTACTTTTATAATAATAAGTAACAAAACACAAGAAATATAGTTCTTATCTGTTGTTTTTTTTTCTGTTGACTATCGACGAAACTTAGCCCTACTTTTTTTTATACTAACACAAAATAATTTTTTAAATTTAATTAAATAATGCACTTAAGAACACAGAGTAATAACATGTAAAAAGTAGGCAATGTCTTATAACTAACAATGTTTCTGGCTTTCTAACTATAGGATACGAGATGTTAAAAATCAGAGTTAAGCTCGCCAATAAGTTTCTTGTGGGAACAAAGTTTGAACTGGAAGTGAAATAGACAACTCTCTATACAGAAAACAACCTAATATAATATGTCATTTGATAGATTAAAACTTTCAATTCTATTTGTTATAAATAACGTAGTATTAAATGTCAAATTAGCAATTTGTAAAAGAGAGGATGTGACAGGTGGGCATGGCAAATGGGTCTGATTTACTAGTTTACGACTCTGTATACAAATAAGATTGAGGGCTATAAAAACTATGCTTTTCCTGAGGAATAACTTTATTGTAATGATTAATTTATGTCCAATTTCATACTTTTTGGAGGGGTGGTAAATTAATTAGAAAAGAGGGAAGGCCCAGACAGCATATATCACAATTCTCATAGTAGGGGAGATTGAAAATATTTCCTTATAACTTTAAAACTTAAAACCTATATAATATTACAATTTGGTTTATTAAGTATATTTTGATGACATGTATATTCATGTACTATGATAAAAAAGTGGTTTTATTAAATTTTGAATGTAACTCTCTAAAAAGTTATGACATGTACGCTTTGACATGCCTGCAGTGAGAGGGTTCACTAAATTTTGAATGTAACTCGAAACGGTTATGACATGCACTCTGACCTATCCATAAAGAGATGGTTAAACATTTCTAACCAAATTAAAGTTGCTTTTTCAAGCTGATGTGTCAGACAAATATTCTTCTAATTTTTTTTTTTTTTACTTTACCATATCTTCAGATTTTATTGTAAAAATCTTTACAATATTAGCTACAGTCTTTGCAACATTTCTGCTGAGAACCAAGTCAATACTGGCTACTGACATCTCACTACAAAATAGTAACAGACAAATATCTTAACTTCTCATGAAAAATATAAACTTAAAATCATGTTTACATATAAAACATATTTAATTTTAATTTTATTTAAACTCTGATGTTAGTGTTTCTGAATCACTTGGAATGCTGAAGTGTGGTTGCACAAGTTAAATAGTACATTGAATAAAATAATTAGAAATGACTACTGAAACAAGATTTACAGGTTATGAAATAAGCAACAATTTACAAACTGAACCAACCTAGCTGAGTTCTGACCCCAGTTTATGCATGAGTAGGCTTTTTTTCTTAAATGTGCATGTTCTTTCACTTTTATCAAAAGATTTCTCATTACAGAATGGTTGTAACCTTGCTTGCAAAAATGACAAGTAAACTGATAAACTAAATTTGATGTTTTCAATGAAGAAATGTGATATTTATATCTCAGGAAATACAGCAAATGATATACATGCTAAGAAAAAGCATCACAGCTGTACATGCAGATACACACTAAAAATGAGGGTGTGCAGTCATTTTTAACGTACAAAGAATGCTTTCTGACAAATGTCAAGACTATATAAACTTACAAGGCTCATATTGGCCCCATTTTGTTCAAAACTATTTCAACTTCTCTCCTAGGAGTGCCATATTATGCACAGAAAAAAAGTCAAACCAAAATCTAAATCTGTTATTTAAAAAAAAAATTATAAAATAAATAAATAAAACCTTTACTGTATGAATTTCAGCTCTGAAGTATCTTATAATAAAAGGTACAGAAGATCTCCTACAATTCAGTGGTGCACATTTTTTTTATTTGAGCAACAGGTGCACCCCACTGAGTGACAATATAGGGTCAAATACTTTCTTCTTGCTGACTTCTCCCTGTTTACTGTACAGGATACATTTTTGCATTCATTCAAAGAGAAATGTTATAAGTTGGTAACTCCTTGCTAACAGCTCACAGTCAGCTTATCTTTCTACCAAGTGTTTAGTAACTTTTATTTATCTTGTGATGAGATGTAACTATCCACAAAGGTATATCTATGAACACTATGAAACACAAACCTTTTTGCTGCTCAGATACGTGTTCATAATATAGATGTATGATGAAGATAACTATACACAGTTCATTACAGAGCCCCAACTTAACATCTACTTGTGGTAGCCAGCTGGGATAGTGTCATCAGAAATCTACTAGCCTATGGGATTTCAACTAGATCATCGTAAAAAGTATCTTACAGATATATGTTTCTTATCTGATGACAATTTTAATACAAATTGTTGATTCCATCAAAATATAAGTGAAGCAGACATTCTCGCTTTCAAATAATATACATTATGTTTAAAAAAAGCTTTTTACTGAAGATTAGCTTTACCAATTTAACAGGTTGAAAGTGTTATCTAAGTCTGATAGAAGATAAACAGCCAATCAGGTAACTATAATAGTTGAAAAAAGCAACATTTCGTACATGTTTAAATTGTTTTTTTTATGGAATTCCAACTCCAAGATATGTAGATAAAAGTAACACCACCAAGATAAAGTAATGATCTCAGGGACCCACCAAATGTGGCATCATTTCATATAATGCTAGAAAGACTGATCTACCGAAATTTTTACTAGCCAACCATAGTACACAAACTGCTACATTTATTAGCCTAAAAGTAAATTTACTAACCTCAAACTCACTTTGTTTTTGACAATTGCTTTGAATAATGATCACAATAATAAAACAGCTTTCTGCAAAGCTGCAATTAAAAATATTTGAATTTTTCTAGTTGATATTTTTACTATCATTAAAAGGGCATTCCATTTAGTTGAAATACTAATCTTTTTTTTTCAGATAAATGACATGGAATATTATTATATCATAACTGTTTACATAAGCTCTATATTATACTTTTGTCTGAGCAAAACTATGAGCTGCTTTTTTTTCTTCCAATTTTCCAGTTTTTTAAATTCTTTTCTGGAATATATGTGACTAACTATTATCTTGGAATTTTCAGTTAGTTTCATATTTTGTTTTGTACATATACAAAACCTTTTAAAACCAAATATATATATTTCAGGGTTATAAGTTTGATGCACAAATAATACTAAGTATGTACCTCTTTTTCAAGTTATTAGTTTACATTACAGAAAACTAAAACTATTATGGCCTAACAACTTTCTTTAACAGTTACAAATCTTAAACAATATACCTATATTTACTATTTATGGCTGATGGAGATTCAAGAATAATCCCCAGGGCTACCCCACCTAATTCTTATAAATTTGATATTTACATAATTAGAACATTTATAAAGATCAAGTGAGTTATGCTTCTTTTTTTCTTAAACTAAATCTAAAATCTTGTAAGTAAAGCATCACAGAAACTTATCAAAACATCTAAAATACATAAAATTATACATAACCATTATAGGTTATTAAGTTATGTTATATAGCAATTGAGCACTTAATACCATTGTGCATATATCTCCATAGTTGTCTCAGTGGAAAAAAAACAACCACGAAGTTTTCAAGATTCTGTATTCTGTACAATTATTAAATTTCTTTATCCTATAAATTTAGATTACAAGTCTTACACAGTGCTAACAGTACAATTACTATATCCTGCAAGTTTAGATTATGTCTTCCATAGTGCTAACAATATTTACTGTTAGAGACTAAAATATTTCCAAAAATCATTAAAACAAAGTCCAACAAAAACAGTGACTGAATTTAAAAAATACTAAAATCAAAACCATCAGTACCTTGAAATGATTTTTACAATGCCTTCTATGTCCTCTTGTGTTGGGGCATCCTGGTTTCCACCTGAAAACACCTTATGAACAGAATCCGAAAGACGAGAGAGAGACTGAGAAAGATAAGATTTTTCAAAGGAAGTCAAGGTATCACGTAATGCCTTTTCTGGACTGAAAATGTAACACCAAAGTAAAACTTATGTGAAACCAAACAGAATCTGTTGTATAAAGCAGTGGTTCCCAACCTTTTCTCCACCAAGGACCCCCTTTTATTATCATTTTTTCCCCACGGATCCCATGTTTTTGAAAGATTCCGCCTACCCAACAAACTGTTTTTATTAACTAATAATTAACTCGTTCTCCCACTTTTCACTATCAAATAAAAGACATATATATAACTGAGTGTGCAATTAAAAAGAACATCAGTATTAAAAAACTTACTTGTTTAATGAGATGGTATTACCTACGCAGACCCCCAGGGGTCCGGGGACCCCAGGTTGGGAAACACTGGCATGGAGCATAAGAGCAAAAAATAGTTTCTATATTTGATATTATATTATAAAATTTTTAAACTTTAATAAAATTATTTTGTACTTGCCTGTTCTACTATCTTAATGTTAGGTCATAGTCTTCACTTAATGGAATAAACTAATTCCTTCATAATTCTTTCCCAAACTATTTATTTTTAAATTTTATTCCTATTTAATAAAATTCAAACAACTACATATCAAATGTAATTACATATTCTATTTTGAGCTAAAGATGACATTTAAAGAGAAGTAAAAAAATTTACATATTAAAAGTAAAAATACTACTTTTTTTTAGATATTTTTTATTTGAGAAAAATGACCTATGATATGACCTATGCAACAATTGAAGATAAACCTACAGTTTCCTATTACAAATTTTTCCACAAAGAGCAGTTATACTAAGATATACATAAGATAAAGAACAAGTCATATTATTTTGGAACTCAACATTAAATCTACATTAGACTAGAGAAATTTTTCTTTTATTATTATGCCCAGTTTTATCTTAAAAAATTATTAAACTTTTATTAGGACTTTGTGTAATAAATAAAACACCGGAAGTTAACTTTCTTTGCTAATAACAAAAAGTGCAAAATTATTTACTTGTAGATATCAGCATCTATATTTTCACTGAAAATTTCTGCACTGTCTCCACTGTCTTGTTGCAGTACAAGAGAATCAGGTCCTGTTGCGACATTTATGCTGCTGTTAAAATGTTGGAGTCTCTTCCAGAGGTCGGTATACAATTTCAAGAGTTTTGGGTATTCTACTTCAAATGCTTGTCGAATATGTGTTGATTCTATTAATATTTTTCTGATGTTAAATTAGTACTTTCATTTACATGAAGGTAATAAAATATTAATAAACTGAAAAAATTAAGTATAATCTGCAAAGGCAGTAAATTTTTCTGAAAATATATTTTTCACCATCTTTATTATAATACAAAATACAGTACTGTGCAAAAGTATTAGAACAAGAGAATATTTTGTCATTTATTCCATTTTATGGTGCTAATTCTTCCATGCCATTACAGAATGTAAATTTCAACACTATGGTAATGCTTCACTGATTCCTGTTGACAATTGAATGAGCCAGGGTGAGAATATTTATCACTCTTTAGAATTCCATATACTTGTACCAAGGGCATGTCATAGGGGTTCTGCTTGAATGAACATACTGATCAAATTTAGGGCCTGAAATAACTGTCATGGTACCTCATGCAGTGTCTTAACTATATAGAAAGAAGCTAGTAAGGAACTAGCATATGGTACCGGTATATGCTGGAGGAAATCAATTTAATAGCACTCCACAAATAAACC